CATGCAGGCATTGAGACTAATTTTGATAAAGTTACAAAGAAAATTCTGGTTACAGAAAGTTAATCAAGAGAATTAAAGAGATGTGTATAATATTCAAAAAGTTAACAAGGTAGGACAGAGAGACTGAAGCCTGCTCCGCCATTCTATCACACAGCAGTAGATTTGTGTGGACTTTTTTACGATAAAAGATACAGTGAAAAGGAGAACTAGAGGTAAAACATTTGGTGTAATATTTAATTTCCTAATAACCAGAGCAGTCCAGGGAAATAGTGCAGATTTTCTCAATACCCCCAGAAGATTTATTGCCATTAGGGATGCACGTAGAATTATGTATTCTGATTTACAGTAAGTCCCCAACTTGAGAACATAATGGGGACCAAGAGGCTGTTTGTAAGTTGATTTGTTTGTATGTCGAAAGTCGGGCCTCCATTACCTTTTTCCCCATTGTTTTAGTTTTGTTTACATTAAGAATACCTGTAAATAAATCCCAATAAGTACAACATACCTTATACAGTACCAGACTCTTCAACTATATTTGCACCTGAGAAATTTGAAGTTTGCTAGCATCTTACAAACAGTTTTTTGGACTTTAGTACTTAAAAAAATTTGTTTGTATGTATGGAATGTTCATAAATAGAATGTTCTTAAGTAGGGGACTATCTGTATTTTGGGAAAAAAGGCAACATGACTACTTTCCAACAATGTTGATTAGTCAAAAAGTGGCACACATTAAGTACAAGACAGTAATTCTGTAAGAGGAGACTGGAAAATGGCACAGGTAATAAGGGCATATCCAGGTTGTGTTGGAAGAGTACATGATATTGATGTAAAATAATAAGGGAAGGGAAGGATTATAATAGTGATACAGACAGAATGAGTAGGTCTGTGGATAGACTGGTAGCGATATTACCAACATGCACCTAATGTGATTCAATGATATTTAGTACTGATGGCTCACCAATCTACTTAAAAATTATCTATATTATTTATCATGAATATAAACACTGTATTATATGGAAGATTTTCAGAAACAAGAAATTGTATTTAGTTTCTCCGGTGCACATCTCGAAGGTCTTCTGTTTATGAGAGCATTGTCCTCTCTCGGTGAGCAAGTGGGAAGAAGAGTATTTTAGTAGTTGGTCAGAAAAAAACATTCAAGATTTTGTGTACTTTCAGTGAGATACAAACACTTTATGGTATGTATATTCAAGATTGGATTGTCAAGTTGTATTTAATAGGATTTCGAAATCTAATTATAATATAATTCATAAAATAAGAGCAATGTAATTTACATCACTGAGTGTTTATGTCGTGTCTTCCTAGAATATCGTATACATTCAGCTTACAGGATAAGTGTACCATTGGTCATATGACGTGTACTGGGCTACTAGGATCAAGGATCAAGGCAGTGGAGCCATTGAAGCAAGTGTCATTAATATATATTATTAACGGTGTTTTCAGGAGACATTATGAACCTTTTGTTCAATGTTTTCATTACCATTCCAAGCAATATTTTGGTTTGTTTTCTATATTTGTGAAATTCTAAATGCAATATTGTGATCAAGGAACTCATCACTTGTGATATCATTTAAGATGCAAGGCTACTATTGATTAGGCTAATGTTCTATTTTGGCAGATTATATATAACCCATATTTTGTGTGACAAATTTCTGTGATCTTGGAATATTAAAATTTTATGAAGGCAAATGTTATGTTAGCTTATTTGTGCAATGTGGAAAAGTTTTCAGTGCATTAAACCAATGCCAACAGGCATGGCATGTATGTTCATGCCATGACCACTGGTAGTTTACTTGTGGCTACACTTGTACTAAGTCACCAGTTAGCCAATTACGAGAACTGCCTGTCTTTCCCCTTTTACCCTTTTCCTTGATTTACGAAAATATTTTACGTTATCTTATTTTGCTGTTATTAATGTTTATAACATTATGGTAATTATTATGTTTTTTATAAAAATAACACCTTCAAAATTCATAGCACTAGTAAAAAATACGTTTTCCTGCCAGTTCAAGGAAGGTGAAATGAGGTAAGGTCACAAAGTCTACTAATTGACTCCTTTGGGGCTAAGCACTAGCAGAGCCTTCTATGTGCAGAGATATTTCACAAAACTATAAAAAATGAGCACAGCATTTTCCCAATTTTTTATTCATTTTCCCTAGTGGTGTGTGGTTAACTTTCAATTATTAGTGATTTATAGTCATATATCTGTGCTCATTTTACAACTTCCTATAACTGTATATTTTTTTTAATTGATGTTAAATTTCATATTATATTTAGAATATCCATTAAAAGTTCCTTTGTTATATTTCATTGACTATTGCTAGTCGAAACTTTTCTACAATAAATGAATGTTACGGCTGATGGGTAGGTGATCCTTAACCCAATGGCGCCGGGTGTACAAAAGAAAAAAAAAACTCTACGCTTAAACAAACAAAGGCGGCGTGAGTAGGGGACATCAGCCTGAATCAATGGCTCGCCACCGGCTCGTTCGGCTGCACGCCAGCTTTCGAGCTCTTTGTGTACACGCCGATCGGCGTCACCTGGCACCAAGGGGTTAACTCCTAGTACATTGATATCACTTTAACCCATTCGCCCCCAATTAATGTTCTGTCCCCTGTAGTTTTTGGTGAATTTTGTTACATACAGATGGCTCCACATGTGCTCAGCCGGCAAGGAGTCTATCAGTAAGCCCTAGTTACCGACCCTGATTTTCCCATTCAATGAATTGGCGGGAATAATACCATTGCTATCGATACTGTTATTATTGTTATTGATGTTATGATTCTTAAATTGTCATTAGAATATTTTAGACAATGAAATGATACAAAATAAAAACTTTACCCTTTTCCTTCTCTTTCGGAAACAGGTGAAATAGGTAGTTCTTGATAACTGGCTATTTGGTGATTAAGAACTTGTGGAGCCATCTATGTGTAAATACAATAAATAAATGTGTATCAAAGTGGGTATGGCATCTATTCTTGCCACGTGGGGCAAATGGATTAATTTATCCATTAAAAAGAAAAGGAAAAAAGAACCTGTGTTGTTTTACTGTTCCTACATTTGTGAAACATAATACCCTAAAAAAATGTATATTGTAACTTAGTAATGCAATTTTATTTTCTTTAAAAATTACAGATCAATGAAAAATTATTCTATATGTTTGGATAATAATGTGTTACATGATAAAATGACACTATCTTGTCAAACCTTATACACTGTAACTTGGTCACACAATTTTATTTTCTTTAAAAATTACACATCTATGAAAAATTATGCTATATGTTTGGATACTAATGTGTTACATGACAAAATTACATTATCTTGTCAAACCTTGCAATATATATTTACTTTCACTTGAAAATAACATAATGCAAACAAATGCTAATCTAATGTTTCTTGCAACAGATCAATTTGCAAATACATATTTTCTGTAGATATAACTTCTAACTAAATCACTATAAACACAAAAAATAGTTATAGAGATTGTGCTGCAAGGAATTTCTTTATTTCTGCTAGAAGTTCCCGCTTCACTGTGTCAGGAACCAAATCTGCAAATAAGAAAGAAAAAAATATATACATATATGAACCTTACAAGTGATACCACATGCATCAGTAACTGGAGCTCAGAAGTACTGCCAATATTTCTTGACTTGAAAATTGTATTCCACTACAAAATTTGTATATAGAAAAACATTAATTACTGTAGCTGTTTCAAAATATTATCTAAAACTACTAGCTGCACTTGTTCAAAGAATCCAAACAAGTCTGTATAGTAGCATTGGTCTTATGACCACTTTTTTTTAATACCATTAGAAGTACTACTGGTAGTTTTGGTGCCATTTTCCTAGCAGTTTTAGTAACCATTCCTTGGTGTAAAGAATTTATAATTTATAAATTCTTTATAAGTAGAGGACCTGTTTTAGATGTACAAGTTTTTCACTGTCCACCAAGAATGGCACGACATGTGTTGTTATTTTTTTTGCCATCTTATCATCCTCATTGATTATAAATGGCATTTTGTCCTGAATGACTCTTGTAAAAGCAGTAACTGATTTGATTGGTAGACTATGAAAGCTTGGTGCTGTGCCCTGAATTTTATTTATTTTTTTTGAAACAGGCCTAAGAAAAGGGCAATGTGGTAAAATTGAGTGCTATGATTGGAGTTTTGGTGCATGTGATGACAGTTAATGTGCCTAATGATGGAAAAAATCAATACATCTGAAATAAACCTACAGGTACCAGTAGTACTTCCCTACTCTGTCAGTAAACTTTACTTCCATAAACAAGGCAGTTCAACAATTTCCTCAACACATTAGTATTTATTACCTGAAATTTAACATTAAAGTAAAATCATTATTATTTTAAACCAGATTCCAGGAAATTTGAATACATTTTTGTAAACACTCTCTATTCAACATACCTCTTCCCTGTGGAGTGATCTCCTTCACTAAGTCATCTACAGTTACTTGCTGTAGCCCTCGTTCTCGCACAATATCCTTGGCATGTTCCTGGAAATACAACAGTGATGTTACACTGGTAACACAAACTTATAAATAAACTTATATTACAAGTAATATAAACTATATATACCTTATAAATATATTATATTATGAGTAATATAAACTTATATGTTAGTTGACTACCTAATTATTCATACTTCAAAATTGTCATACTTCTGGTAAAAGAGAGTGAGGGAAGGATAGGTATTTCAAGTTCATGATACTTCTATTAAATCAAATGGGGCAAAGAAAAGTGTATTGTGGCAATGAAAATCAGCCTAATATTTCTGAGACCTGAAATATTGATTTTTTTATTCAGGAGTTATACTGATGTTCTCCTAGGACAACATATGATCAATCAGAAAAGAGAATGCTAATCAGTCCTCTAAAACAAAGTTCATTGGTATCAGTGGGCTAATCACCAAGACAATTAAATACTGCCTGTCTAGGGCATAGAAGCAACTTAAAATTGACTAAATTTAATTCAAGTTACTGTGTATTAATACCCACATGATTAATAATGCATGAAATTAAGAAGTCTGTTTATTCTAAAACACTCTTCATGTCTAACAATTACAAATTGCAATTAAAGAAGATAGTCTACATGGTAAGTAACAACCAATCCCATATAACATTACATTTCAACTTTGCATGTCAAAATATATTTAAATCCCACCCACAGTGAAACCAGTAATGTTCCATCTCTACAAATTAAAACATAGTACAATCATAATGTATGACAATCAAACTCTCATGGTAAACAGTAAAGAAAATCAATAAACATGAAATCTAGAACACTTTATCCACGACATTTCCTGCACAAACTGGAAATTGCCAAACTCACACAGGGATGTCTTATCACATCATGGCAGACCACCCCTCATGCTGGGATGACATCTTCAGCTCTAAGTTGTACACACAGTTAATCTGTTTCCTGAAGATGCTGACATCCCTTCCTTCAGGTATGCCCAGTCATGGCAACTAAAATTGTTGATCAGATTTCGTGACAGTCTCTGGTGACTGTGTCTGTATTGTAAAGATTTGCTGTGCATTTCTTTCACCTGCATGTGTTGAGGAGAAATAGTTTCTCAAAAGTAGGTGTCTTTTTAGCCTCATTACCTACAACACTGCCTATCCCACAGTCAAGAGCATAGAGGGCAGGGAAATTCTATTCTGTGTTTCCCTTGCTTCTGATTTTTCCCTCAAGCAGCTGACTCTGCATGCACCCTGAAATGTTTGGTATAGCACTGGGGGCTCCTGCTGTGACTTAGCTAAAATGTTACTTGATGTTGAAATAATACCTGCATCAACATTTATCCTTCACAGGTAAAAAATAAACTGAGGCATTTCTTTAAACTGCTGTGCATTTTCTAGAAAAGAGCCATCTATTGGGAAACAGCAATTTCTGGGCATTTAATACCTCTATAAAAATTAATCCATGAAAACTCCTCCTAAATAACAGGCTATGCATAAGTACGGACTGTTTTATGTTGTTTAGTGTCAGAAAATATGTTTGTTGAAATTAATTCCTAAGAACCATAAGGC